CCTTCTCTAGTTATCTTGTACTCCTCGGGAAATACAATTTCTTCTCGAGTCATTGGCAAAGCTGGTGCTGCTTGTTTCCTTATTCTGATGTTTCTTATCGTTCTTTTGATACAGTCGGTCTTCGCAATATGTTCTGCAGCAGCATGGCTAAGTCCGACAGACGCATTAGATTTAATATATTGGGGTGCTTCTTCGCCATTTATTGCACGATCACGTACATCCTCCATCTTCAAATCTTCTATATGAGCTGTATCCCCAATGTGTGTTTGTGAACTCCCTTCACTGCCTCGATGGCATCTTTAACTGTTATTTGGCGAACCCGGCAGTTGTGTTTCTGATATATCCCACACTTCTAATATGACTTGTCAGCTTGGTTTTCTTTGAAAAATAAGTGACCTTCCACTGAATGTTACTGTGTTCCCTTTTCACTCGTGAAGAACTCAAGGATCATGATGGTTAACGAAGATTGGTAACTGAAGTATCACACTCCAAGAACTTTTTGAAACTTTTAAACTCTTTGTATTTTCTGAAGCTTCATATAAGGATGAAGCATGGCAATTATTGTGTTCATTAACTAATCTTTCAAATATGCCATTTCTAAATAAATGCACTAGATAAAATGTTTTTGTGAGTAGGTAATATTATGGCAATTATTCTGCTCATTAACATAATCTTTCAAATATGTTATTTCTAAATAACACTGTTTTATGATCATCATAAATAAATCATCGGCGATCAATTGTAAAATCGGTGAATTATCCGTTCGACGAATTGCAGTGTGAATTTTTCAGTCGATGAATTGCTGTCGGTGAACTTTCCGGATACCACGAAATAGATACACTGCTAAATCAGCTCATTTGTTACCTCCTCATCAGCCATTTTCCATCCACTACTTGATAAATATGTCAACGAATGCCATAAACTTTTATTTTCTGCGAATCTGATCCATCGTGATCCATCAACTTCTTTATCTGATGCTGCCATCGATGTGGAGGTCTTACGGACGGTTTACAGTCCCTGGGAACACGGTATGGCTCCCTCCCACTGCCACTTCAAAATACTTCTTTAAAGACTGAACTTGACGACAATTCAATTCAATCAATTCATGGAAACAACCGAAGCTTCACCTTGCGCAGGTTACAAATCAATTAAAACCTTCGGCACAGACAGTACAAGATTGAATATACCGCATATCACGCTCACACAAACAGCAAGCTTTAAACTTTCCTATGCCGCAAAAAATTAACGATGAAACATTTTGAAAGATACTATCGAAGAACTTAGGCTAAAATATTTCCAAGGAGCTGACAGAAACATTTCACGTACCAGTATAGCTGCCAATTTTGAGAAAACTTTCGAATGAAGCCTTCAGATTATTACTTTTACTGTATAACGCGGTTTTATAATCTTCATCGAGTCACGAAATCAGCTCCTTAAAATCATATACTTTAAAAGTAATCACATTGAATCAGCAGAGGAACAGAGTCTGATACGGTAGCTTTCTCGGATCTGCAGGTTTAATTATTCTGAAGTCGAAGTCGAAGTCTGACCAGATATATGCCCAACGCCAGACTAATGAGAAATCGTCGAATTTAGTCCATCCAACGTAAATGTGCTTTGTGGACTTAGAGAAAACCTATGATCGGATTCCGCACAACAGTCTGTGAGCGTGCTTGCGATATATGGATCGATTGGCAATTGCTGCTGGTCATCCAATCACTATGTGCTGATAATAGGTGCTGCGTCAGAGTAAATGGCGTTGAATCGAAAACTTTCAGCGTTGGCAGTGGTCCCCGCAAAATCTGCGTCCCTTTCTTTTGTTGTACGTGGGCGGAATAGTCAGGTGCAGCCAAGGAGATGAATGCATGGGAGCAAAAGATGTCGAAACGATAAGTAAGGTTGCTTTCTACAGATGACCTTGTTTTATTGACATCCTCTGAAACTGGTCTTCGACGCTCGCTGTAAAAGTTTGCATCCGAAGACAACGTGGCCGGCATGCGCGTCAACTCATCTAAAACAAAAAGCCTAGTGCTTTCTTGCTCTCTTGCCCGGTGTTCTCTTCAGGTTGACGGAAAAGCAGTGGAGCAGGTGAGAGTACCTCTGGGTACAGTTTACAGGCTATATATAATTTGGAGGAAAACGACCGGCGGATTGGAGTAGCCAGTGGTATTCTATGTGAACTGGCCTGAACCCTAAAGCGGAGCTTAGACTGAAAATTAAGCTTGTGGTGTTCAAGTCGATCTTCATACCCATGCTCACCTACGGTCATTATCATGGACTATGACCGGAATACTTCAATATCGGGTTCAAGCGGCTCAAATAGGTTTTCTAAGACGAGCCATTTGTGGCCTTACACGTCTGGAGTACAAAAATACGCGAGAGCCGCAGTTCTGGAGATTGAGAAGTCACAGGTGTGATGGTTTGCACGTGTTGTGAATGCCTCCAGAAAGGAAGACGAAGCAACTGTTTCTTGCTTAGCCGACCTGCAGACGGCCAAGGGTACAGCTGTACTTATAGTGATGCAAATATATGGAAAGAATCTTCTCTCGATTCCAGTTTTCTGCTCAGACTGTGGCACAAGATCGGAAACGTTTGATGCACTGTCTGACGCGCATGCCTCCACGACCCGAAAGGATGGACTTGTTTATGGCTACTCATTCTTGGACATCGTTTCGCACAGAAATCTTTGAGACATTTAGGAATCAGTAGATATTCCACCAAACGGAGTACTCCTTCTGGTAAATAGGCTGTGGAAGGAGAAACAGCTCTTTCGTGCGTCAATTCGCTGC